CTTTAGACATTTCCCGTTTTTCCTGCTTATTGGAACAGTTTTACATTGTGCATTTAGTATTTCCCTTTTAAGAAATTCCCATCCATCCTGAACTCCTTTCTCTTTCAGTATCATTGTCCATGGAATTATAGCCAGTAATTCCCCACCTTTACTGAAACTGACCTTCTTAAAGTCTAGAATGCATGTCTGGCTGCATTTGGCTTCCTCTTCTCACTGTGTAACAAATTCCAAAGGAGCGTGGTCACTCCCACCTAAGGATCCCACCACTTTGACCCCATTAACAAAGTCATCCCTGTTGGTTAAGATCAGACCTAAAACAGCTGATCGCCTTATTGCCTCTTCCACCTTCTGGACCATGGAATTGTCTGCAAGGCAAGTGAGGAATTTGCTTGACCTTATGCTCTCGGCAGAGTTTGACTGCCAACATATATCAGGATACAGTAGTTGAAATCTCCCATTACTACTGCATCTCTCTCTTTTAAATTTGTGGCCATCTGCTCCAGGAAGGCATCGTCCAACTCCTCAGGCTGGCTCAGGGGTCTGTAGCATACCAGAAAGCGCTCTCTCTTGCACAAACAAGAGCATGTGCGCATGCACAAACGGTGCCCCGGTGCTTGTGCAAGCATGCAGGTGCTCATGCACATGTGCAAGCGGTGGTGCGGTGCTCATGTGGGCACTCGGGCACATGTGCAAATAGCAGTGCACCAATGGACACAGGTGCACTTGTACGCATGCATGAACAGTGTTGCGGTGCTCACAGGCATGCGCTGGAGCATGCACACATGCGCACATCAGCTGTACGGGGGTGAGTGCATGCAGGGGGGGGAGGTCTGTCTAGACCTCTGGATTAGAGGACTATTTAGGCTATTTAGGCAAAGACACCCTACACTAAGGTCAGGATGGCTATTAGAAAAAGTGAGATGGTCAAATTAGGCAGTGGAGTGCTTGAGGGCGTGGCAGGTTTTTACTTGTTTTAACTATGATATTTACATGAACACCCAAGGAAAACAATCCCCACATTTATAAAATTAGCATCTTCAGGAAGAAAACTCAGTTTTGCTGGCATATAGTTACTTGTATCTTTGTGAGAGATTGTTTTGATATGATAATCCTACTGTGTCAAATTCCATTGTTCAACTCCCTTTGATTTGTCTCCCAAACAGAAATCTTATGTAGCATGAGTGGGATCAATTCAAAACAATCCCATCAACATTCTTTCTCCTTGCACTTTTAAGCACTTGTGCGAGCATGCAGGCGCTCATGCACATGTGCAAACGGCGGCGCAGTGCTCATGTGGGCACTCAGGCACATGCACAAATAGCAGTGCACCAATGGACACAGGCGCACTTGTACACATGCATGAACAGTGTTGCGGTGCTCACAGGCGTGCGCTGGAGCATGCGCACATGCGCACATCAGCTGTGCGGGGGTGAATGCATGCGGGGGGTAGGTCTGTCTAGACCAGTGGTTCTTAACGTGGG